GAAACTTTCCTGCTTATGTGCAAAACAGTTAGTGTGGCGGAGAACTAACACTGCACTTTAACATGAAAACACCGTCCACATGGTGGCAGCAGAGTCCTGCGGAGGGGAAACTGTTCTCATGGGAAGATGGGTGGAGCTAAGAGGCAAAGGTGGACGTTTAGATTTCAGCAGAACAACCCTAAACAAACATCTACACCACATGTGTCAAACTCAAGGCCCAGGGGCCAAATCTGGCCCTCCATAGTTTTTATGTTGCCCTCTAGGCTCCAAAATACATCAATAAGTCCCTCCAGTTTTTCCACAAATTTGCAAAATTCACACAAAATCAACAGATCTCCACTTTTTCTGATTTTAGTGCAAATCCTGGAGGGATTGATCAGTGATTTTTTATTTTATTTTAAGCAACACCTATTGAATGCTGAATAAAACATATATTTATTCATATTTTAATAGCTTAATAGGTTTTATAATACATTCTGACACAACCGGCCGTTTAAGAACAGTCAGATTTTTGATTTGGCCCAAAATGAAAATTTCTGAGTTTGACTGGTCCAGTCAAAGTCCAGAAGAAATCCAATTAAGAAGTTGTAGCAAGACTTGACTTGACTTCTGGCTAGACTTGAGCTTTTTTTTTTTTTTTTCCACAAAAGAGAATCTAGATGTTCAGAGTGCTTAGAGACAAACCTCAACAAATTGCAGTTTGAGCTGCTGGGAAAGACGGCTCTACAAAGTACAGACTCAGGAGGCCTGAATCCATCTCACACCTTCTGATTTGTAATGTAAAAATGTTGATAAAGAAAAAAATATTGTCACAGGACAAAATGTGATGAGGCTCGAGAGGCCTGAGAGGCCTGAAGAGGCCAGAAGGTCATCTGAGTTTGTGGCAGGTGGTTGCTTACTTTTCATCTCCATGCTTAGAAAAAATTCCTCCAGGAAGTTCAGGAATGAAGAGTGTGGTGAGAGGAACTCCATCAGCATCCTGTTGTGTGTCGCAAACAATAAGCTGATACTGTTGGAGTAATGGGAGCTGGCACCATGTCATCATTCAGGGTCATCTCAGTCCAAAGGGAGCAACAGCTGTCAGCTGCTTCATTTATAAATTATAGTCTGCCTACAGAAAAGCACAATTTGAATGCAAACTGGATCTAACAAGGACTTTCCTGGTGTGAATACAGCCTAATTCTACTTCTATATCTGGACTAAGATGAAGACGGTGACTTTTGAAGGACTCCCCTTTGGACAGATGAGACCGTAGTGGACGTTTGACTCTAATGTGTCTGGAGAAAAGCATGTACAATACAGGATGATCTGAGCTGGTTGTGCTGTTACTGGACCTGGAACTCTGCAGACATTGAATGGAAAGCAAAGTTATCCATAAACCAAAGTAGTCCAGATTCAAAGGTGAAGCCATTTGAAGTTCACCTGTAAAAGTTCCACAAGTAATGAAGTCATGTTTCATGAAGAGTAGACTGAAACTCCTTTACAAACAATGAAGAGGTGATGAGTTGGGACAAAAAGCAGCCAGGGAGACGTTCTTCTACAACTAAACCACAGAGTGTGTTCATTATTCCACTCACATGGTTCCTATTTTGGCTTCATCTTTATTTAATAAAGACTAACCCATGAATAATGAATAATGTTTTTGTACACTTGAGGTTAGACTTGAATAATCCAACAACAGCTTTATAGAGATAAAATGATTTTCATTATGAAGTCGTATGTAAAGCCTCTTGATTTGTAAGACACTGAATGTGACTTCATCATGAAGGAGAAAAAGTCATGGAAAAAAAGATACCACTTATTCAGATTCATTAAACACAGAACATTCATCAAGCCTTTAAAACATTATTTTAATCTTGTAAAACCATTTTTTACACAAGAAACTTTTTAATCACTACATTTCAAAGTCTAAAGCATTTTTTTTTCAGTTTTGGTATAGAACATAATGTTAACACAATGAAATGCATGTGAAACTGACATTCTCTTATAAAATGAGATTTTCTCCTTTTTACTTCATATAATGAGCAGGATATTTTTCATTCCTTCCACACTGCAGCTTCGTTTTCTTTATTGCCAGGCATACGGGCCTTCAGTAGAACTGTAAACTCTTTCAGTGAGCGATGACGGTTCTGATATTTACTTTCTGAAGCCTGGATCGGAGGGAAGGCGCCACACATTCCTGTCTTTACATTACATCCATCTGACAAACCAGGCAGAAAAAAAACATTCTTTGTAGCTTTAAAACAACAAATAAGAACATACAGAGTGCAGACATCAGGAGCCTTATGATTTATATTACGTTTTGACCTGAACTGCATCACTGCTGTGCTGGCCGTAATGAGCTGTGTTACATTGTGGATGTGTAGTAGGAGGCCTGCACAGTCTGGAGTTGGGTTAGGTGAGCTTAGCTAATGTTAGTTCAGTAAAGCTGTCTGTGGAGAAGTCCAGTTGTTGAGTCTTCCATTCAGTTCGTCTGCAGTTTTTTCCTCTCAAACAGTTTTTCCAGTGAAGCAGACAGGAAGGAGTCCTGCCCTGCCGCCCTTTGGAGCTGCACTGGTCGGTGCCACCGCTGCAGAGCTTACTTCAGGAGCCACTGATTCACTGCATAATGGAAACAGCAGAGAAGAAAAGAGAATTGAATGCAGAGTGACCTTGCAGTTTGGAAGAGAACTGAAAGAGAAACTTCAAAGACGAAAGGAAAAAAAAAAAAAAAAAAAAAAGCTGGAAGCACCAGAGGACGTCCACCCGGCCGCGTGGCGACCGCGGCAACGCCACCCAGTCACCATCATCTCATGTCATTATGCTTAACTTATCATTTAAAAGTAAAACTACCAAAACATAATAAGGTAAGTGATAGTAAAAGTCAATATAATAATAATAATAAACAAAAAAGAAAATACAATTGACAACATAAAACTCGTCTTTCTATAGGTTGTGTATGTGTAACCAAATGCTATATCTTTTTAAATAGGTTAAAGGTTACTGATATTTTCTTACAGGTAACATGAGTTAAATGTTAGTGTGACTGAGACAGAAGCAGAGCAACAGGTGCAAATATACACAAAACACCCCTTCACGTTTTTTACGATGCTACGTATTTACTCCTCTGCACACTCTCATTCACAACATGTTTACGTGTAAAAGACGGCGCAGCCTGCTTTTTATGGTTTAGAACACAATGTTAATATACATCTCATTTTTGATACTAATGGAACAGAAAATGGAAGCGACGGAAGGAAAAAGTTGTATAGGGTTAAAATTTACAAAGTGGTTTAAAGACAACAGATAAATGAAGCCACTGTGTCAAAAGGAAGGTTATTCAGGTTAGCCTAAGCTACTAGTGAAATGACTCTGTTGTCCTGCAACTGTGTGGCGCGTTTACAATGTAATAGATGCTGGGAAGAATAGGAAGGGTGTGAGCATGGTGTACACAGGTATGATTGACAGCGCTCTCATTGGTTGACTCTGACCAGGAGTAATGTCTGCAGAAGTCAGTAGTACCACAGGGAAGAGGCAATGGAGATAATGATTTACACAGATTGTCTCTTATTATGCCATCAAGACATAGTTGCTGTCTACAAATGTCAGTATTACGAAAATGTTGAGAAAACACAATGTTGTAATTGCTATATTTTCATTAAATAAGAAATGCAATTAAAATCACACATAACTAAGTTTGCTCATGCGATAAGTTATTAATAAACATGCCATGCCATCATCCTCCTACTACTTCCTGTCGCCTTTTTCGTGCTTGGCACCAGTGGAAACATCCGGTGATGGATCATGTGACTCATGTGATGCTAAAAAGGTGTTTCCATTGCAGTTTTGTGAAATAAACCAATTTCAGTGCAGCAAAAAACCCCCACCTCATTCCAGCGTCAAAACCTTTAATCAAAAAGTGAGAATTTTTTCAAAAGTTGTTTCCATTAAGCAAATTTCTTTCAAATTGTGCAATTAGATGGTCAATGGAAATGTAGCTGGAGAAAGTTTTAACAAATAAAAATTCCAGTTTTTATAAGGTACTTGCTTAATCTGTAGCCGGCCAGCACAAGTCATGCCTTTCTGAACCTCACTTTGTGAACCGGCAGGCGGTCATGCTGAGGACCATGGAATTATCTGAAACACCTCAGTTTGATGAAACTCCTTTCACTGTGGTTAAAGGGCCGAGCCCAACCTCTCCAAACTGGCCCCACACCATCAGCTCCACTGCACCAGACCAAACCCTCCACACAGTGCAGTCAGACAAGAGCACTTCTCCTGACAACTGCTAAAACCAGACTCATCCACTGGATTGGCAGATAGAGCTATGATTCGTCACTCACCAGCCTTGACTGTTAATAAGGTAACGCTGCTTTGAGACTGCAGTTGGCAAGCTAACGATGCCGTGTCTGTACAACACATAGTTAAATAAAATAAGCAGCTAAATTCTGGATTTTATGTTAGTGCTCTCTGTAAATAGCAAAATAACCACAAGATATAATATCATGTGCAGACAGGGCTTAATTAGGTCTATTAAATCATTTATTGTAGGCTTTTGCTTAAATCTGTATTACAGAATCAAAACAACAACATGTTCTAGATGTAACAGTCACTACCAAGTGGACATACAGGTAGAACTTAGTTCTTTCTTTCTTTCTTTCTTTCTTTCTTTCTTTCTTTCTTTCTTTCTTTCTTTCTTTCTTTCTTTCTTTCTTTCTTTCTTTCTTTCTTTCTTTCTTTCTTTCTTTCTTTTTACTAAAATAGGTAGATCTCAGGGCAAATAAATAGTTTACTATGGCTAAAACCTTCCTACACGGCAAAAACACAAAATCTTACCAAGTATTTTTGGTTTAGTTTCTCATACAAATATACTTGTTGACTTGAAAAATGAAAAAACTAACTTACAAGTAACTTTCCAACAAGATAAAAGAGCCTGTTTTAAGTAAATAATTCCCTAATATAGATGACAAAGTATTAGTTCCACTGACAGATTTTTGTTGTACTTACACAAGACATTTTCCCAGGTTAGTGAAATAATCTGTCAGAGGAACTAATACTTTTTATCATTATTATGAAATTCCTGACTTAGAACAAACTCTTATGTCTTGTTGGAAAGTTACTTGTAAGATAGTTTTCTCATATTTCAAGAGTTCTAAGACATTAGAACAAAAATACTCGGTAAGATTGTGTTTTTGCAGAGTAAGTACAACTCCATTCCTGTGTGTTCAGTGTAAGTAACTGGCAGGGTGACAGTGTTCAGCTCATTCTACTGTTTTTAGCTTATATAGTAATAAATATACATTTATTTAGGCAGAGATAAAGATGAGCTTTGGTATGAAGATGTAAATAGTAATAGTAATAGCCTGATTAATACCATCAGAGTAACAGAGTTCTGCCAGAACCTTCAGTGTCTCAGTCATTTTTGCTGATCACTCATGTCTGTAGTCTCTGTTAACTATGGGACGTTCCACTGTCCAAAGTTTGAACAGTGATTTGCTGACTTTGACCAAAAGTTTCCTGGTTATTTTTAACTGTGCACTCAATGGATTTGACAGTCCAGATAGGAACAACTTAAAAATATCTCCACTTTTGGCATGTAACGGCTCCCCTGATCAGCTCTGAAGAATGAGAAGCGAGAAAAGAACGTGATGTTATATATAACACAGCGATCACTTCCAGCGGAACTGAGCCCTTCTCTTGACAGCAGCGGTCGGCTCACCTCTGTACTGTGGGCGCAGGGCACGGTTGTTGGGGCAGTCGCGGCCCTGCTTGTTGAAGTTGATGTTGGTTCGGATGCAGCGCTGCAGCAGAGGCTGGGCCGGCCGGGTGTTGTCACTCATGCTCAGGAAGATCTTGTACGGTTCGTTCTGGCTGAGGAGGCGCAGGGAGTGCATCTGCAGGACAAACCCACAGCTCAGTCCGTTTCTGACCAGGCTACAGAGGTAAGCAGCACTCTAACATGTAGAAAATGTGCTGCGCAATGTGAACCATACCGAATTAGATATTATTAATGATAATTAATAAGTATTATAAAATCTAGATCTAGTAAAATTACTACTTGCTTAGCAACCCATAGCATAAACATTTAGTTTGATACCCAGAGCAGAAATTACAGCAAACTTCAAGAGAAACTTCTGTTAGGTTATCTAGAGAAATTACTCCTTACCATAGATCAACGTTTAGCATTAAACTTTTAGTATCGGAGCAAGACCTAAAGACACTCCTGTTAGTTAAAAAAAAACAAAAAACAACTAGAACAAGCTTAGAAACATCTAGTTTGATAGGAGAAAAGCCTACTAGTTTATAAATTATGGATTACCAATATGTACTGTAGTTTTATACTTTTACTTTTCTTTTCTATTAGTTAATCCAGAGAAACTCCTACTACTTTATAAATTGTGGAGTACTTTTTGCTTTTCTTTTATTTTGTTTGTATTTTCTTCTAATTCATGTAAAGCACTTTGAACTGCCTTGCTGCTGAAAATGTGCTATATAAATAAAATGACCTTACTTTACCTTACATGAGTGGCAAAAAGCCATGACAAATCACAGTAATGATGAGGATGTAAACATGTTGATAACAACAGTAAAAATTATAGTTTTAATTATACTTTCGTTTAATGTTGACCTCAGGCTGGTCATAGCGCAAAGAAAAGGTAAAACGAATAACTAGCACAAAGTTCCTCAGCAAAAGACAGAGAGTTAGTTGCTCAGGCGACATCTTCCTCCCAGCGCTGAGTCCAGTGGAGAGGCTGCAGTGTGTGTGTGTGTGTGTGTGTGTGTGTGTGTGTGAGCCGCTTTCCTCCACATAAGTGCTGTTCTGGACTGGAACACCGTAACACCCAGTCCCTGTCTGAAGCAACATGAAAAGGCTTTCAGGGCCTGGAGCAACTACTTCACAATGGCAAGGAGATTTATAGCACCGTCATGAAACCTGTATGCAGATTGTGATTTTTATATGAACTAATAAATGAAGGCAGAGATTTTTCTTTGAATTAAGTGGTAAAAAGCAGGTTCCACTCATCACTTAATCTGGTTCTGAGAACCAGTTTGTTCTTTTCTGCAGTTATAGAACTCTGTCTGTTCTGAGGGAGTAAAGATGTTTTCTTTTCGTCTTTTTGAGAAGCTAACTTATAATTCAGACATGTTGGAGCTCCTGCCAGCACCAATAATTATACATGATGTTCCTGCTAGAATGCATGTAGCCTGGTGTTACGTATTCATCCCTCTTTTAACTACCTGCATCTGTGTCACATAAACTGGCTTGTTGATGAGGATCCATGTGGAGGTCTCGTAGCAGGGAGGGATGGTGATGGAGCCCTCATAGGTGATGTAGCGGATGGTGTCAGGGTAAAGGTCAGCTATGTTCAGGCCCATTAGTAGGAATGCATCATCTGAAGAAAGGGGAGAAAGCATAGAGCTCGGTGTGAGAAGATGTTCTGTTGAAGCTTCCTCCTGAAGCGCTGATAGCAGGGAGAAAACAATGACACATCTGTGGATGTGACTCTTACTAGCTTTAATTATCAATCATACGAAGCTTTGTTAAAAATACATGCCTGTGTTTTTAATGGTATTGTATGTGACAGACCAATTCAGAACAGTGAATACATGTGAATTGAAGAGAAAACGCCAATTTTGATTAAGATGTTTTGCATCCATATTCAGATCTCAAGTCAGTACTTTGTTTATTGCTGCTCTGTGAGCTCAGAAACTGCAGCTCAGAGGAGGAGCTGCGTCTCAAAGGCAGAGCTATGTCCACCCAGGCGTTTTGCACAGCTGAATGGTTGCCATGGAGACTAAAGGATTTCTCAAACTTGCATGAAAGAATAAAAGCAACACTCCAGGTATGTTTTTTTTAAAAGAGGGAATAACATAATAAAATGATGCAAAAAGTCAATTTTACAACAACGGCTTTGTTTAGGTCAGATATTGGTGTAAATAAGTAATGGTGGTTCTGAGCTTTGGACCACTGCAGCTCCTCTAGAGCTACTGTCCATCTCTTCTACTTCTCTGATTAAAGCGCCGATGGACATCTATGTCTGGTAGGCCAGCAGGTGTCCAGATGAAGGACTGATCAGAGATGTGGCAGATGTTTGAGAACCTAACCCTGCTTTAAAATCTCCACTGCTTCCTCCCCGACCCGTCTGCCAAGACAAGCAGCATCTCCATGATGCTGGATGTTTTCTAATGTTCAGCAACAAACCCCTGAGGAATTCACAGAACATCTGCTTTTATGCTGAGGTTAAAAGACACAGAGTCTATTCACTAATAAATTACATTTTGGGGCAGTTGGGTGCAATAAATGTTATTTATATGCATTTCTATTTGCGCTACTTCTTTTTTGGGCTAATAAATGAAAGCCTGACAACACGCACTTGTTTGTTGTTGTAATGTCACAAAATGCGACAAACCTAGGAATACTTGATGGCACCGTTTTTCTGCTTTGAATAAATAGATCCTTCAAACAAATGTAAGATATTTTATTCCAAATGAAAGCTTTGAGACAGAGGGATTATTGCCATTTTCATTAATTCATGGTGATAAAAAAAAAAAAAAAAACTCCGATATTTGTTCCTCAAAGTACAACTTTTATTCGGTAATAAAAGAGTTTTACAATTATAAGCAAAATGCATCTCTCGCTTATAAAAATAGTAAAACATAAATACGTGCATGACGAGGCCAATTTAGTGGGTGCTGATTATAAAGCTAAAATAAATTCTTTACTTGTCAAGAACAAAATCTTTGATCTCACACAAATCTGGTGCGTTCTGCTGCCGCTTCATTCAGTGAGTCATCTTTGTGTTCCGGGTATTTTTATGACACGGTCCCACCTCAGGCTGGAATTAACATCCATCACTCTGTTTATATGATTAAACATCACATTTGAAATTCTGCCACATTCAATGTAATTAAACAGGAATCTGAAATTTTTATTAGTCTCCACAGTTACTGAGTAGCAGTTCTCTTCTTGAGAACCGTTCAGTGGATCATCTGCCTCCATCTCAGACTAGCACAAAACTTATGTCTTCTTTCTTTGAATGGAGAAGAGCTTAATATAGGCAAATATGAGCAAATATAGAACATGATGGCAGTCATAGCCTTAGCTAATCTGCAACGCACAGCCCCAGAGGAGCCATTAACAACATTAAACAGTTTTAAAGACAGTACAAAAACACAGCAGGATAAATTATCATACATAGAACAAATTCTAAAATTAATATAAAGCAGACCACAACACTCCAGGTATGTTTTTGATGAGGGAATAACATTATAACATGATGTAAAGCTAAAGAAAAGTTGATTTTACCTAGTACTTCCCCTTTAATTAATAAAAGCATGATTTTAAAATGGAGTCTTGCATTTCATCTGGTTGTCTTTGATATTAACGTGTTAACGGATCTGAAACTTTTAAGTGTGGACAAAAAGTAAAAAGAAAATGACAAAGCACCATCCTCCCTAAAGTAAATGATGTTTTGCTCATGAAGAAAAGATCAATCCAGACAAAATAGAGTGTGTTTAGATTTGGTTCAGACAAGCAACCAGAAAGCTTTGTTCAATTTGTCTGTTCAGTTTGTCTTACGTTTGTAGTTGATTCTGGTTATGGTGTCTCTGTTGAGCATACGGTTGAGGAAGGCGTTGGAGTTTTCTGAGAGCTGAAATGGAAGAAACAAACATCAAATATTAACAAGAAACTGAGCTGCAACACAAACAAAAGTTTTTTTTTCTTTTTGCTGCAATTTGGATTGTTACAATCCATTATTCACAAATTACACTTTGTTTTTAACATGTTAGTCAAAGAACTGAGTAGAGACTGCTATTCTGCAGATCTCTTTGCTTGATAAGTGATCAACCTTCATAGTAACTTAATCTTCTACACTTAGAATGTCATTATTTACAGCCATGCTAGTCTCTGGTGGTTATATTTTTGCTCCCACAGTATTTTAACTATAATGCACTACATGTTACTCAATGATTCACTGTCATGCTTGATTCTTATTATTTTTCTGATTATGGTCAGGCCTTTTTATTGCAGGAATCTAGTCAGACTGCACTATGCTAGCTTTCAGAGGACAATCAAACCTTAATGAAGATGGAGACCACAGCAATGCCGTGAGGACTCTTAGCTGCCTCACTGTAGTTAGCATACAGATCTTGATTATAGTGGATCAGTTGGACCTGAAAGAGACAAACAAAGAGAAGAGGAGCCATATGATTTAAACACAAGCACTGGAAGCAAAACTAAGACTGAATATTTTCAGCATCTCTTCTTTTCTACTTTGTTAAGCAATTGGAAATGTCTCACATGACTATTAAATAATCGATTTACAGATTCTCAAATAAGTGTGATTGTGCACAGTTATTGTACGGGTCAGCCTAGCAGGTAAATTCTCTTTTCAAACTGGTTGCTCCATCCACTGGGGATGATGCAGGCTGGACATGTGGGACATGTCCAGTGCATGTCCCTACACTCATTTAATTGGTTAAGATGTGATAATGTGACTTTCCAAGGCATATTTAGATGCACTATAAGCGTACCCATGCTAACGCCGGTTACACCTTTGGATCTGATCACCGACTGGAAGCCTGTTGTTGAGCATGATCTGCATCATGTTCAGCAATTAGCCAGAGTCAAAAGGCAACAGTACACAAGCTGTGTAAGTTGTGTGGCGTTGCTGCTACATGCAGATAATGTTGGGTAAATGATTAGTTCCTCCATGCTAGCTTATTATATTTATCGAGTTAACATCAATACTGATGTTGTTATATATGTTGCTGCCTGTTTTGCATTCCTTGCTAGTCGGTTAATGGCAGGAATAAACCCAGGGCTCTTTCATTTTTGTCCAGAAGTTGTGCTCACTGCAGCTTTCCACATATTTAAAGCAGAGCTTTATTGGCACAATAGAAAGAGCAAAGTCAGAGAGCAGCATATTGAACATGTTGAACAAAACGTGAACATTTACAAAACCTAAAATGATTCCACATAGCAGACCGGGGATGCCGTTGGCCTTTCCTCTTCCTCTGGGCCCATAATGGCCTGAGTTGATATGTTTTTATTAGATTACTGCTGCCTGGCTTTTTTGCACTGGCAATGGTACGTATGTGCAACAAAATAAGGACAAGCTACCTGAATAGGATGGATTTTTAAACGAATATTTCTACCTCTAATATATTGTCAAATGTATCTGCTGGTCTCCTGTTATGTACGTATTAACTTAAAGGAATCTCACAGCTAATCCATTTGGTTTAGTATGATGCCTCCCTCTGCAACTATAACAATGTCAACTATTCTGTGAAGGAAGGTGTTCTGTAAAGGGTACGAGTGTGTTGTCCAAAACTTGGGCTGAAGTGTCAGTTTTCCTCAGTCACTTTGGTTCGTTTCTCAGAACAGAACTGAAACTTTCAAAGCGACTTGTTCAGTCTTCAAATCAATGTGTCTCTTGTTCACATCAAAGAAGCAGTTTCCTGTTCCTCTGAGCAAGCGCAAATGCTTCTGTACATCATACAGGTCACTACGCGCAATTCTCTGCTTTTTCCTACATTTTCAATTGTTTTTGTCATATTGATTAAAATGTATTATACACAGCAAATTTGGAAGTGT